ATACTTGCTTAATGTCTGTATGTTGACACACTAAGATCATATCCATAGAAGTTGCTTCAGAGGTCTGTTAATGTTGATAATTCCATGTCCATTTCCTGAAGAGCAGTCTTTCAAAAACAATAACCTAGTTTTCAGCGTATAAATCAAATGCAAGTTCTGTATTTGTTTCTTGATGCCTTAACGGTGTTCTAGCATCTGGTAGGCCAACACTGAGTTTCTGGATAATGTCTGTTTAAAGAACACTATTTGTGTATCTGAGTGTCACATACTGTGATAAGTTAGCTTGTATTTTGTCAGTATTTAATTTTTCTTTGTGTTCTACATTAACAGTGGTATGTCCAGGCTACCTGTGCTACGCAAGGAACTGGTCTGTATGAGGGACTTGACTGGCTGTCAAATGAACTCTCAAAACGCTAACTCAAACTGGATGACTCTTTCACCAGGGACATGTTTGATATAAGTGGTCTAGGCTTGTTACAACAAAATTAGTTTGCATCTTGGTTATTACAGTATCTGGAACTGATATTTGGGCAGGATATTGCAGCGTTTCAACTTATTTTGTTGCCAATTATTGTTTACCGAGCTACATGTTGCAAAGGTAGCAATATGCTTGGGTAAAAATCTCCTTAACTTGGAAAAAGTGTATCTTCTGATTTTATTCCCCTTGTTAGCCTAAATGCCTGAATATAGTTATTGTGACATCTTTAAGATCTGTTTTGAATACTCTTTCGAGCCCAAATAAATTAATGTTTTAAATTTTTTTTTCTCCCTGCTACTTTTAGTTTACTGGTGCCCTGTTTCATTCCTCAGACAGTCTGCTGATTTAAAAATGTAGCATTCCATATGTATTTATTTCTCTCCCTTGCCAAAAAGAATTCCTAATACTGCTTGTTCCAGCCAAGGAAATGCTCTAAAACACTATACAAATCTACTGCACTGAGGAACATTTTATTAATCCTTGGGTTCTGTCAGCCCAACTTGCCTTTGTGTGAATTGGATTTGATGGGTAGAATAGTTCTGTGCTGGTTGCGAAGAGCTCATGTCGAGATTGTTTTTAATATTCAGCAGATTGTCTTCCTTTATATTGTATCTTTTTTTTTATGTTGCATGTTGCTTTTTGGTATCAGCCTGACTATTTTTGCCCAGTGTATAATAGTTCTGCTGAAGTTTTACTGTTTGTTGGTGAACATATCTTCATAAAGAAATTTTTGAAAATTCATCAAACTCAATGGATTAGTTTCTTCATAATCCACTTGGAATTATTCCTAATAAAATGATAAAATGTATCGTTCTGTGTATGCTCTTCTTGATTCCTGAAATAGCTGGACTGAAAGTTGTCACTTGTTCTTTTTCCATATATGAGCTTTCCTGCAGCTTCAGTGTGAACATCAGTCTCAGATTTTTACTTGTTTGGAGCTATGTAAAGCGGGACATGAAAGGTGGGCAAAGAAATTGTATACAGTGCAGCAGAGTAGCTGTCATCAAGACTTCTATAATTCTGTGTCTTTTGACGTTGTAAATCTAAAATTCCTTTTAAGATGTCCAGATATGAAAATACTAACAGTTACAAAAATTGTAATAAAACAAATACGAACTGCCTGAAAAGCATGCATGTCTGTTTCATAGTTGTATCTACATTTAAAAACCAACACGGGTTCTAGCAGGGGAATCACAAATTCTCTTGGTGCCTAGCTGAGACATTAACTTGAACACTTGTACAGGGATTTATGTAGTCAGTATTACATCAATAGTGATGGTCACCCCCAAAAATCAGTCCTATGCAACTGCTACTGCCTGCTTTCATATTTTTGCCCCCTTATATAAATGTCTGTAATTCAAAAGACTTAAATTAACATGGTTTTTGAGGCTGCTACTAATGGGTATTTTCAAATTATCTTTCTGTTGCCTGTCTGCTGTATGGATGCAAATACGGCTCAATCTACCAACTGAAATACTCCGTTCTGTTAATTGTATGTCTTTAGGAACCCAAAGCATGTTTTCTTTGCAGTTTTAGGCTAAGCTTCTCTCTTTATTTTTAGCCCAGGTCTTGTTACCCTTGTTAAAAGAAATCCCAGTGACAAGGTCTGGTAAACTCAAGGTTGTTTAGGTTAAGAGCAGCTTCCAAGGCAGCTTCTGCTGTAACTGAGGTTTAATTTTTCTAGGAAGTACTGTTACTGTGATCACAACTAACCAGAGAAAATTCCAGAGCTCTTGAATACATTCATTAACTGTCTTCAATATGTAACAGAAACCCAGGAGACAGTGTCAGGTCAGTAGGGTTTTGCTTGTACCTTTAATGAATTGCTGATTACATCTTAACTGGAGTTGATATATCCATGCATTGGATTAGTAGCTGTTACTGTGTATGTTTCTAGCAATGCAGTTCCTAGAAATAATCCTCAAAAGGAACATCTTGTTCAGACAAGGCAGCTGGTCCCTAATAGGGATGGTACTGGAGGTCCCAGTAGGTTAAAATGAAACAATGCTTGTGACAAACTAAATGCCATCTCCTCTTCCAAGGAAGAAGTTAGAGGTAGACTTTAAACAAAAAACCAGATACTTAGAAATAAACTAGGCCTTTATCTTGAAGGAAACATTCTGTTTGGTAGAGATGAAGATTTGTTTTACTCAGGTTTAGGTGAGCTCTGTTTAGCCACTACACTTCTGAGTTACAGCATCTCTATAGAAGTTCATATTTCAGAGTTGCCATGCTTCACTTTGTGTACCAGCAGGTTGCAATTCTGATAGAAAATGAGTAATTTCACAAAATTCAAGTCCGAAAGTAGTAAAGATCTTGAGCCTTGTTTAAGAGTGATGGGATCTGCATGAGGGTTAAGGCTACAGCTTATGCTGCAGTGTAGTAAGACACAGTCAATAAAATTCTTGGGTGTAATTGAGGAGTCACTGTAGCGTTAATCGGAGCATAGAGAGGAACTGAAGCAAGTACTTCAGTCTTCCTGTAAAGAGAGATCACACTTGGCATCTTACTAAAATGATATTTGCCTCAGACTACTCTGTAAGGTTGTAATTTTACATAATGTTGTTATGCAGTTTATTCATTGTAGTATTAAACTGTGGAAGGGATGAGACACTTGATGGGCTGTGGAATAATGTCACAATTGACAGAAGTAAAACTTTTCTTCAGGTATTACATTCTCATGAACTGTTCTCAATTCTCTAAACATTTTCAAGGTACCCTTTAGATTATGTGTTCTTGATTCTAAGCAGCAGTCCCTGGCATTGGTGTGTGTGCATAGAAAGCCACCTTGTCTTCAGATGACAAATGTAGTTTGTTTCACATCTTCTTACTAGCTATTGCTAGGAGCTGAAATCCTGGTGCCTTTCTTTTTCCTTTGTAGTTAGTGCTGCTTTTTTAGCTAGTGCTTGTTAGTACAAGAACAAACTTCATCTTGATGAGGTTTTTTTTATTACTCTGCCTTATCTCTTGTAGTACCAGGATCACATGCAGTCCTATTCTGTTAATATGGCTATCCCTCAGTAAATTCATGAGCTGTGGCAGTGACACTTCATTAAAACTGACCCAAATTATAATTTGTGTGCTAGTGTTCTTACACATGGTACAATTCTTCTGCTGCAGAGGTACTGACTGTCATGCAAGATGGGGCAAATTGGTAAAAATGGTTCTGTTGCTTTTTGGCATTCTTTAAAATAATTACTTTCTGGCTAAAGCAATTATAACAGTGACCTATAGATGTTTTATATCAGTAACCCTCAGCCAGATGCTACTTGAACAGCATTGCCCTGTTTTTAGTGTAGTAATATATAAACAGTTCAGTGAATCCCAGAACACTGTAGGGGTGAGTGGTTGTGCAAATATAGGGCACACAGCTTCTCTCAACCTGGGCAGACTTGTTTTGCCATGAAAGCACCAGTAACTAGAAAAAAGATCAAGTGACAACACTGACAGACAACTGAAAAAGGAATTTTATTAGGTAAAAGAGGGAGACCTAGTAAAATGGTTCTCCAATGCTGTTTGTTTCATGTGGACCAATGATGCAGGGAAAGAACTTTGTTAAATTATTTAAACCCCTCCAACACATTCAATTATCTCCTACAAAATATGGAAGACTAAACTATTTCTATTAAGGAAAAAATGCAGGTATAAATACTATTAAAAATGCAGGTCCTCCTTGTATGCAACAGGGGAACAAAATAGAACAATTGTGATAAAGGTTGGCAAGTCACTTGCAAGGATTTAGGCACAAATAGCTAATGTACCACATTAACTATTCTTTATCTCCTCCTACCTGAAAACAGATTATATTGGTAAAAAGCTCTCTCCCAACCCGAGTTGGCTGTCCCAAACTTTAGTATTTCTTTTACTGCCAATGACTATAAACAACAGAAGGAACAGATGTTCAAAGTAGATGCTACCTATATATGTGCTCTGGTTTTACCAGACGCTAAAGTGACACTCATGACCCAAATTAAGTGGGCAAGCAAAATGCTTCCAAACCTTGAATTTAACATGTCTGATTGTTGACAGAAAGTCTATTCACTGATAATTAAAGAACATCTTTTCAGAAGGTAGAAGGTACAAGTACATTGTTCATGCCACTTACTAAAAGATTGGGACACAGTAATGGTAAGTGAACAAGACAATTTCTGAACTTTAAAAAAATTGTCATGGCAGTAGTTACAATGAGATTGAATCAACTAAATCCATTTGTTTTCACATTCTATGGTTCTGAGTAAAGCAGGGTTCACTTGATACACTGTATTATAAATCAATTAAATTCATGTATCTTTTTAAACAAAATAATTCTTAATCCTTTAAAAACACCAATAAAAAGATTTATGATAATCCAATTTTCAAAACCCCTTTTCTTAAATATACTTTTCCTATTAGCATATAAAAGGGAAGGGAAGAATTGTCATGCAAATATTCTGAACAGTGGCAATACTCAGTAGAACCATTAAACACATGAAATTTTTTGGTAATCATTCTTTCCTGTTAGTATTCTACAAGCCAGGGTGTAACCTCAGTTCCTCTGCAGTAAATTAAATTTGTTTGAAAACCCCCAAAAGCACCTTGCAAGAGGTCTCCTGACCTATTTCCACTTTAAGTCACATATTAGTGCTATATGATCAGAAGGATGTGAAACACTTGGCAAAGCCTGATGGGTTGTTACTTCTTCATGACTTGGCAATGGAATGACCTGTTCAACCTCTAGAGTGTTTTTGTCAATGAAAATGTAGTCCAGACATCCATGAAACCCACCAACATAGTTCGTATAAGCAGGTTCTCCACAAGCACTTAGCAGTTTGAAAGGATGACTTAGAGGCATATTGCACCTTTCTTCTTCACCACTCGAGACCCAGTCTTCATGATCTTCAGCAATGCCACCAGTGTTAATAAAACTGTAAGTTCCAGATGATGGTGTGCTATTAAAATCTCCACAGAATATGACTGGTATACTGGGATACAAGTCACACGCAACGTGCTTGATGTGAGACAAGGCTACAGCGATTTGGATGAGACGGATGTTCCCACCTAAGAATATTAAAAGCATATTAAATACTTAGCAGCACTGGAGGAATTTTCCAAGTTGCTCATTTAAGCATATATCATATATAGCTCTGAAACAGCAATCTCATTTTAAGTTTTCTGTGCACTACATTTTAGAATACTTTTCATAAATAAAGAAGCCTACTCTGAAAGTTTTAGAAGCAGACCATGTTTTAGTTTAAATTTGCACATGCAAGAACTCTGAGCCTTAAACACCCATATTACAGCAGCTTTTCATTTTGTGGCAATCACCCTAATAATGTTCCTGAAAGGCACAGAACCAAAAGAAAACTCATTTAAAAGAGGAGAATCTCTTCCAAAAGCTTCTGTAGCCCAATCTGGTTGCCTGCTGGCAGTACCCCAATATAGCTCCTTCAGGGACAGTAGCATTGGGAAGCCATGAGCACACACAAAGCTATCTGTATTTTATTGCCTACTCTTTGGGTGAATTGTGTATAACATGTCTTGCCTTGCTTTTTTTCTATATTCTGACTCCCAAGCAGACTAGAACAATCTCTAAGGAAAAGAAATAAACAAGCCTAGCAGCCTGGTTTGATTCATCTAGATAAGAAGCAAGGCAGGAAACCCTCAGTTCCAGAAGAAAAGGTTACAGCTGCAAAAGAATAGGGGGAAATCCATTCTCCCTAGGAAGGACAAAAACCTTTACAAACCCAGTGATCCCACATACAGGAACATGATGAAATTACCTTTCGGGTGCCAGTATAGGTGGGTATTCGCTACACATATCTTCCTGGAAGGATCAGTTGCAGACTGAAGAACTGAAACCTTCAAGAGAAAAATCAATCTTTAAGTCTTAAATAGAGACATTATATATTTCTAAAAATGCAATAGTTAGCTTATGCCTTTATGGCAATCCAGTTCAAAGAATCTGATGCTTGTAATAGACAGTACAGCTCCTAAGGTGAGTCTATTTATCTTCTATATAAGGTCTGGGTAGGCCATTTTTTTTCCTTTAATCCATTCCATATTGTCTCATAAAATGTTGCTAATGCTGTACCATTCTTAACTACTTTTATTTTCTATTCTCCCACCTCTGCAACACAATCGGACCTGTATCTCTGGTTTTAGCATGCAAACTGTAACACTGCATAGTTGTTAAACTGAATGTAAATTTAGGGGTGATTTCAGTTATCAAAGAAAGCTTGTTAGTCCTACTCAGTCTACATATAGGAAACTTTTACCAGTGAGTGTTTCTGAAATTCCTGACACAGATCTTACACATTTGTACTTACACAAGAGCTCTGCTGGCAGACCCACTGGCATCAAGAAGCTCACAAACCTTTCCAACCTTATTTCTCTCCCTACTGTCACTTTCTAAGGCAGCATTATTAAAGCAAGCTAAATTAATTTAATGTCATTTAGAACTCATTTACAAGATACAAGTTTTATGAAATACATATTCTGACATACTACCACCAACCAGGAACCAATACCTGGCCCAGAATCTCAACAGCTATCTTCATCCTAAAACAAAGGACATCATTTTGCCTTTTTTACCAAATGTAATTCCATACACGCAGTTCAGTAAATTCTCAATGTTTTGCTCTGCCAGGTAAAAGAGAACATACTGCTGTACTATGTTCCAGATTGTGAATCCCTCCCCTCCGTTCTCTGGTTTGATGCCCAACAAACCTAGCTTGGCTGCACCTTCCTGGAGACAGTGGAAGGAGGAAAGGGGAAAGAGGAGGAGCGCAGGTAAAAGCTGGTACCTGCAGCACAGATGACCTCTGCAGCACCTTCTCCTTCACCAAGGGGTACTTGGCCAGCTTATCACACAAGTCCTTGTGCAGCGGATCTGAGAGCAGCGCTTCGCTGAAAGCGACGTCATGTTGGCTAAGGAGGCTGAACTTATCCCTGCGGTAGAAAGTGGCCAGGCCTTCATGCTGCTTCTCCTTAATCTTGAAGAGCCCTTCTAGTCCAAAAGCATCTAGAGCTGGAGCCAAGCTGTCCGCGAAGACGGACTTATCCACTTCCTGCAGGCAGATGAGGTCGGCGCTGTAGCCCGCCAGCTCCTTCTTGAGCAGGTTCTGCCGGTAGTCGAGCTCCAGGGCGTAGGGCGCGCAGTACGGGTACAGCACGGTGCGGGAGAACTCCGTCTGGGCGTAGGTGTCGGCCAGGATGTTGTAGGAGACGGCGCGGATGGAGCCCTCGCCGCACACCTTCCT